AAATTTAATAGCATAGTTTTGCTTCTCTCTCTCTCTCTCTCCCCCCTACATGTTGGAATTTGAATGGGAGACTGATGACATAGCTCTAAAATGAGTTAATGTTCAGATGTTGGAATTATGCAAAAGGCCAGCAGTATTTGACATGCTGATAAATAAAAGTAATGCTACAACAAATAATAACTTCAGCTGAGGTCATACAAGAGTTTATTCCGCTATTCTGTAAGCAATATGTTCCCTTAATATACATATTTGAGCATTCCATCTGTCAAAGCACACACTCCCTGTGATCACAATCTTTAAAATATATACATTTTCATTCCTGACAAAGAACAAGCAACCATTACTCAGTGTTAGCAAGTTTGACAAACAGCGCTCCAAATTTGGCCAACAGGTAGGTAATTAGTTAACAAGTACAAGAAGTGACAAATAATGAATACTTTCTAGTCCAGTTCCATACTGATATGATGCAGAGATGGGGCTGCTTGCAATAATGGACACTTTGCTTAGATCTGTGGAGATAGGTCAAATGCCAGTATTTTAGACTTTGCTTATTTGCTGTTAGTTGTTTCTGGAGGCATGGAGTATGGAGTCCTAACTTGTTTTTTCCATGTGTACCAATCCCTCCAGGATACTTGGATATAATGCATGTTGTTATTTTCATTTTAAAATAATTAGTTCACTGAAAGAAATAAAAGTTAGAGAGAAAAAAATTATTTTTTTTCTCTACTCTAGTAACTCTTAGTGTTTTCTTGCATGTGTCTGTTGGCTTGTACTTACAGTAAGAAATAGTGACTGTTACTGAATCCATATCCTGTTTTTTCAAAAAGGGAATATACTTTATAAACTTCTCTCTTTCTTGCTATGAAGATGCGTATTTCTACTGATGGTTCCCTGAGTCTTCATGCTATATTTTGTAACAGTCTCATGCTTGGTGAATAAAATGTGTGTAATGTTTATCGGCATTTCATAGTTCTTCAGACAATTCAAGAGCATTAGTTCAGCAGATTATCACTCTGATATTCCCTTAGCTCAAAAAAGAAAACGATCACAGGATGTATAGTAAAGCCTCCAAAATGATGGTCAACTTTCATCCCTTGTGTAGCTGCACTGACTCTTTAAATCCAATGTGAGATGTCAAAAGTCTCCTTCATTTGTTTTCTTTGACCTCCCCACCAACAGCTTTCTTACAGTTTGACTGTTTCTTTCCTAATTTTATATTTTCTCTTTCAAATGTCTCCACATCCCAGAACCTAGTGTAGGAGTGTAGCAAAGAGTAGACACGAGGGTAAATACCATGCTGGGAAAGCACCTTGACTGCTGGTGTGCTACTGCCCCGAGACCAGGGCTGCAGGTGACTGCAACAGGGTCTGTGGAGCTCTGGCTCAGCTTGTTGTCAGTGGTGGGTTCACTCGTTCCTCGGGACAGGTGGTGGGGAAGGGGCTCGGGCTGTGATGCCATAAGAAGGATAGGGTCCCTTGTAACTCCCCTGCTGCTTCCCTGCCATACTAGGTATTACCCCCCCTCCCCATCTTCCTTGCTCCTCCTTCCCTCCTGCCTGCCTTCCCTCCTTCAGGAGCACTGCACTACTTCTCTTCCCCTGCTTCCCTGCTGGACTGTTCCCTGCCCCACACTAAATGATAACCCTCACTGAAGGAGCTATTTCAAGTACATTTGTATATTACTTTATAATGTAGATGAGTAATATCCTCAGATACTGAGGATCATGGGGAAAACTTGTGTCTGTCTGTCTGTCTGTCTCTCTCTCTCTCTAAATAATCTATAAATTACCATATATATAAAATGTATATATGGTATATATGTAGATTTGCATCCCCCACACTTTTACACACGTATGTTTGTACATGTAGCCAACTTCTATGTATTTTTGAATTGGTGCAGATTTACTGAAGTTGTTGGGACAGCATTGATTTATACTGATCCATGTTGTTTAAACACCTTCTATATAATCTGAACTTAGTTCAACCAGTCTTTCACTGGTAGAACTCCACTGACTACAGTGGAATTGTTTCTAGTTTGCAGCAGTATCAGTGAAGTAAGAGCCAGCCCCAGAATTTGTGTACTGCTGTCCTGTATAACCAAGTATGTAAAACTACATGCAGTCAGTCCATCAGCAGTCAAACAGTATAGCAAATCTTCATTGTAAGAAAATGGTTTTACTTTCTGGTACAGTGAATCTCTTGAGATTTGAATTTTTACTGGGCAGTTTTGGAGGATGAGCTAGCCAGCAGACTGATACCAAATTAGGTGGACTGTCTCTGAAGCCAGTAGGAACACCTTTTTTCAGTCCTTGAAGTAGCTATTACCATGAAAGCTTGCCAAGTAAAAAAACCCACTTTGTCTTGGAACATATTGTGCTATTCTGTAACACAGTTTACATTTGATTGTTTTGTGTCTGATTGCCTTTTCCATAGCTGGGACATTGTCCTTTATTAAGAAACAAAATGCCGTGTAGTACTGTAGGCGATTAGTTCTGCAGCTATGAGGGATTATGAAGAATCGTTGCAGAAAGCATTGCATAATGCAAAATCATTATGGCAGCTTTTCTTGTACTTGGCCCTTTAAGCTTCTTCGATAAGCCCTTCTGAATATATATTTTATTCTATCACCCTATTATTGTATATGGTTCTTCCCCACCTCCTGCTTTGAAACCATAGCTGCCTCTCTGTTGCTTATCTGAAGAAGAGAGGGAAGAAATCCACTTTAATGACTTCTTTTTGTGCTTTGACAGCAGATGGCAATTATGAAACATTTAACTTCGTAAGTGCGACTTCATTGACAATACTTGTCCTAGTGCTTGCGCTGCTTGCAAAGTGCCAGCAGAAGCAGCAAGGAGATCCTTGCTATTGACAGTACTTTTATTGAGTACCAACCCCCCCTCCTAAAATAGTCTCTTTAGATTTGTCCCATGATTGTTCATGTGAGCATTTAAAGCTGTACATCAAAGTTGTGTTCTCCCTTTAGAGAAATGAGTTCCCTCAGCCCTTGTTATATTTTTGGCAAAGGGTTCGAACCTTCATGAAACCATTCTCTACTACTTTTTGCTTTTATTTTGTATACCTGTGTGTCTGCCTGCCTGTGTTCCTTCATTTTTGTCTTTGCTTTTCTCTGCTTCTGTTTTATGCCTTTCAGTAGACTCCATAATTCAAGCTATATTATAATGCTAAATTACAACATGGGTAATTTACTGTTTGTCTGAACAGTGAGACCCTGGCAGTTTATTAGGAGCTAACTGCTTGTGTTTTTTCCCTCTTCCCCATACATATTTTTGCACAGAGTCTTAGTCAGTATTTTATCATAAAGGCAAGTCCCAGTCCAAGGGCTTTCAGTTTCTCTGTTTTGTGTTTAGCATAGCCCACTATACTGTTTCAGTGGGAGAAAATGTTACTGCTACATTACATAAGACTAGTGTAGTGTTCCTTTGCAGCAAGTTGAAGGTTTCTCAGAATACAAAGTGGTGCAGAGATCTCTGTGTTAATGACAATCATTCCAGGCCCTGGGATTTTTTTTTTCCTATGTCAGTGGTACACAAGTGTCTTGTGACAGAAGAGGCATGCCAGTGACAGAAAGGGGTAAGGAGAATGGATGAGCACCTTTTTGAAAAATTGATTTTATCATTTTAGTATCCTTGCTTTATTCTGAGCTAGCACTCAGAATCTAATAGCCATATGTGAGAAGACATATCACTGTGAAAGAGATGTAGTGTTATGGCCTAGGTGGGAATTCCATTTTAGTTGTTGTGGCATTTATACCATTTACGGAAATTTGTATATTATTTTCCTCTCCATTCTACATTTTTTTTTAGAAAACTACAGTGCTGTATGTGTTCTGGGGATAAAGAGAAGACTTCCGTTTCTAGGCTGTCAGTTGGGTACTTTCTGCAGGGAACAAATTGGTCTTTACTTCTAACTATTGATGGAAATACCATCCAAATAATAATGTTATTAGCAAGACTGCTATCTTGCAACTCTTCTATTGTCACAAATGTCCAAGGGTTCTGCTTGATTATGCCAGGTTTTGAGAGACCTAGTCTATCTAGCGATTTTTATTTCCTTGTAAAGCTAAAAAATTATAGCTCTAAAAATAGAAGTCAATAAATTGATTGAGCACAGACATTTCCTAGAGACATTTAAAAATAGACATTTTGAAATAAAATTTATGTAAAGTATACCCAAGTTTGCTTAATTACCTGGTGTACTTTCATTTTAGTACTTTTCTTTTCTCCCTAATCTCTACCTCCCCACTCAGCCCCATTGCTGCTGGCATGTAGAGCTCATCATTTCTAGATTTTCTATACAAATCTAGCCAAGAAAAAAACATGTTGGTAGACAGGTGTGAGGATGCTTTTACTGTAGCTATATCTGTCCTGTGAATAAAAAGAGAACTTCTGTCTCCAGGGATACAAGCATTTAAACTGTTTTCACATAAATAGCATTGTTTAATTTTTGAATGCACTGGATATGTAATACCTATCTGTCTTTCCATCTTAAAATAAAGTAGAAACCTACTGACTACACTCTGGGCATATCTACACATGTTTTTATGTGTGCCCAGACTTAATGCTCATTAGCCTAATGAGCATTAAAGCAATTTAGGTGCATGTCCACATGTGAACTTGCTAATGTGCCTTAACGCAGGTGTGGGGACTGACTTGGGACTAAAGTTAGTGTGTCTACATGTTTGTTAAAGTGATTTAACTATTCACACATAAATATCTGATTTATGCAGGTATCAAATTTAGGTTTAACTAGCCATAAATTGTTATTTTTAAGGTGCATTAAGGGCGTGTATGTATAGACTAAATCAGGTTAATATGCATTAAATGTGCACATGTTGACACACCCTGTATAAACTACTTTAGATTTGCAACCTTACATGTGTTTAATTCAGACTTGTTAATAAGCTTTAGAACAGAAAATGGGAAATGGTGGTAGCAGCAGTGCACTGACTAAAGAATGGAATTTTTCCTATTTTAAATGCAGCTACTTTGAATTGGAAAGCAGTGGCCTGAGGGATGAGATCAGATATCACTACAGATTTAATGGGAAGTCACGGACAGAGGTGTTCCCATACCGGATGGCAGATGGACAGTGGCACAAGATTGCACTCTCACTTAGTGCATCCCACCTCCTGCTTCATGTGGATTGCAACAGGTAAGAAAAAAACAAGATTCTAGAAAAGAAGAAAAATGTTGGTAGAAGTTTGAAAGTGACCAAATGCAACCCTTACTCCTTCTTAGAGTAAGAAAGAAAACAAAGCTTTAAAATGAAACAGTACACTCTGATTAAGAACCAATCTACAAAAGGTTGATTGCTGATTGGGGAGTATTAAATATACCTTGGTGTACTGTAGATGCTGCGGGATGTTATATTCACCTATGATTATGTTTGTGTGATATATTGTTGGGCAGTCTGTTCTGTCTGTAAAGTGTGTCACTTAGCCTGCCCTGAAACTTGTTGCTTTGATCCTTTCTTTTAAAAACTCTGAGGTGGGAGAGATTGCAGATTGCCAGCATTAAATAAAACAAAACAAAAACTACTAATTCAAGACCTGCGTACACATGGAATTTGATCATGCAGTATACTGAATCTCTCAGTTCTCATTTCAGTCTGTGGAGAGCTGGGAAGCTAAGCACAACACAGGATCTGACCCTTGAAAAGGATTCTGAGTGAAAGAAAAACTATTAGAGCCCATCCTGCTTACATGCAGTAGGCATCAAGGCACACTTTGACTTTACTGGGGCAGAATCAACCTCTGACAGCATTTTTTTTTTTTTGTTTTCTTTTACTGTTGTGGCACTTATGTAGTATAGGGCAATATATAGATCTATTGTTTCCTTTACGTTTTTCATTTCATTTGAGGAATGAGAACTTCATTATGGGGTATTGGCAGAATTGTAAAACGTCATTTTTTCCAAAAGGATATTAGAGGAATTTAATGAAAATTGTTAAATTCAGGAAGTGAAAAAACATTCACTAAGGCAAAACTGGCCCGAAATTTTGGACGTCAGAAAACACAGGGTACTTAGAATAGTTTAGGGTAAGATCTGGATAGGCACTATACACACTTAAAAGCCTACATTTTAGGCACTTAAATGAAAAAAATAATTTAGGAATCTCTCTACTCAACAATCCCAAATCCTAGAGGCACTTAATTCATTTAATATGTAGGTTCTGGCCTGACGGGTTACCTAGGCCCCTGAAATTAGACTCCCACACAAGTGCAAGAGCATCCTTGTCGGAGGAGCTAGATGCCTAACTCCTTTCTGAGCTCCATTGTGATCCAGATGTGAGGCAGTGGTGCTTAAGCTCTAACAAGTTTCTAGAGAGGCCTGATCTCTTTGGTGTTCTTGGAGCTCATTCAACACATACCAGCAGGACAAAGTGAGGTAGCTACGCTCACTTTCATGGAAAAACATGGGAGAGGAAAACTGAGAAGGTGGTATTGTTACTGCCCACATTTTCTGTAGTAGCTTAGTAGTTAGAGCAATTACCCAGTGCCAGGAATCTTAATGGTAAACTCTGATTGGCCAGCTAGGTTAGATTAGTCAGGTTACAACTATGCATTATCTGATTGGCTAGGGAATAGTAGCAGGTCCAATACTTAAGCCAACCTGTGGGAGCCGAACACAGACTACTCAGCTTTTGCAGTACTGAGTGTGGCTGATGCCTCGCCTCCTTGTTCCTGACCTCCAACTCCTGGCTTCAGACTTTTGGGTCATTCATGACATCTAAGTCTGGAGTCAAACTCACCTCTTTCAATCTCAGCTGGACCTCAGTGTCAACACATCTCAACCAAGAAGAGGAAGGTCTAGAGTCTGGGACCTCTTCAGTCTCAGAAGATTCAAACTCACATGTGTTGCTTCTTAGAGAGTGCCCTGACCACCACAGTCATCTCTTTTGTTGAAAAGTGCTCACTGTTTGGAAAGAGGTATAAGAACCAGGGGAATAAAAAGAGAGGAAACAAGAAGGAGCATATTTCTGTAAACGGGGGTTATGATACTCAGCTGGAAGGAGATATGGTATGTGCTTTCTAGGTCCTGCTCTCCTCAGGTAAGGAGAGCCTTAATATGGACCCGAAGTGGATGGAGGCACATAATGTGGTGAGAGTTCAGTGCTTACTGTTTTGTATTGGCTAGCTCTAGGTATTCTGCGCTCTTTGAATTTCCTTTGGAGGCATGTAGCTTTTCCTCCTTCACAGTATGGGACACCTAGGTCTCCAACTCTGTGTCCTTGGTTTACCCTGCAGGTATTAGGCAGTTAATTTTTGTGTGTCAGTGTCAAAATTGGAGGTGTCTGCAATATTTCTCTTGCTCTTGCTTTTAATCTCATTCTAACAGTCAAATAGGAATTATAACATATTTTTATTTTAATCTTCCTGGTTTTTTTTGCTGATTTGTGGTAACCATGGAAATAGACACTGCTGATAAGCAAATAACATACATTTCTATTTCCCGAGTTTCATGAAGACTTTTGGAACTAGAGACTTATTAGCCCCTGTGGTGATTTGTTTATTCTCTGACATAAGGAATAGCAAGTGGTAGTAGGAAGACACTTGGGGAAGACTTCCCCTGGCCCTTGTACATGGATTGAGGGGAAGAGGATATAAGGGGTATCCCTCTAGGCATACAACCTGTCCCAGTAGGGGCAGAGAGGAACTGGGAATTGTGGCCAGGGCTTTACCCTTTCTAAATTAGCAGGCATAGCTGAAAAGATAGACAGGAGGGAAGGCTAGAAAATGATGTAGCTTAGAAACACCCAATAGCAGGTATCGGTAGAAAGGATTATGTTTTTTAGAGCATCCCCTGGGGTTGTGCAGCCCAGGGCTGCTTGCAGCATAGCATAGTACTTATATATACTCCTGTACTTAGTTTATCTCCAATGGAAAGTAATGGGAGTAACTTTTAAAGCATGACTTGAGGGCAGATCATTGTAGGGGTTTAAATGAAAAAAAATCAGAAGATTTTAAGTCCCTGACTCAGCTGCAGCATGTCAATTCAGTTAATTAGAGTTTTCTCCAAGTGTTGGCAAGTACAGTTTGCTTTATATATTAACCTCCTACACCTTTGCATTCAAAGAAAGAATCATCATCTTTCTTATTGCACCAGTGTCTCCTGCTGACACTTCAGTAAATTTCATAAAGATGTGAAAGTGATCTGTTGTGCCTAAAGAAAGGGCATGTCAGAAAAGGGTACTGTCAAGAACTGCCAAATAATCTGAGCCCTCCTAATCTTCAGTGGGAGGAAAACTGCAGTTGAAAGTACACACAGAATCCTATATTAGGGAGGGTGGATTTTACATATAATTTTCACCGTTTTAGGATAGCTTAGTGTCACAGGCTTTCAGCTGAGTTCAGAATGCTTAATGAGAAGCAGTGCCTCTACAGACTTAATTGAACAAATTAAGTCACAGGAGAAGAGAAAGCTATTTTAGTCAATAGATTCGTGCGTTCTGCTTCCTCTGGATTTTTGTGCTGCTCTCCCTGCTTCAGTCATTCAGTTCTGCCTAACAACACACTCAAGATGTATATTAAATGAAATATATTCCAGTCAAGAGAGCCAAAATTAACTATTCTGATCAATTCATAACCTAATTTTCAATGGGCCTGCAACACTTGATCCATTTTGTGTGTGCAATTTTGTACAAGCATCCCCCATTACCCTCCTATACATGCTCTTTTGGTGCACTGACAGCTTTGCACACCTTGAAAATCCACACGGAGGGCTGATAGTATTTAAATGTACAAATGTATCATTGTTTGAACATGCAGATGTTAAACATCTCGCTTGTTCATGTAGGTGTTAGTTCATTAAAAGTACATGAGAAGAGCTCTGTACAATTGTGTATTATGAGTTCATGTGCAGTCAGGGTCTGAAAATCAGCTTCCTAATTTGCTCCAAGATTTGGCTGCATATCCACAGTTAGTTCCTGGGAAAGCTAGAGAAGGGACCAGAAAGTAACAGCCTCCAATCCATGTTTATGTCTTCTACAACTCTTTCATCCTCACACTGACTCATAGCATCAGGAAGGATGTGGAGAAGCTTGAGAGAGTCCAGAGGAGAGCCACTCGTATGATCCAAGGCTTGGAGGGAAGGCTGTACAGGGAGAGGCTGAAGGACTTGGGACTCTTCAGTCTGGAGAAGAGACTTGGTGGGGACTTGGTGGCAGCCTACAATTACATGAGGGGTATATCAGGACCTGGGAGAACAGCTGTTCACCAGAGCTCCCCAAGGGATAACAAGGTCTAATGGCCGTGAACTCCAGGAAAGCTGATTTAGATTAGACATAAGAAAAAAGTTCTTTATGGTGCAGGTGTCCAGAGTCTGGAGCAAACTTTCCCCAGAGGTGGTACAAGCACCTACTCTGAACTCTTTCAAAAAATAGGTGGAGGGTACTTGAAAATTAGTGAAGGCTTTCCTTCCTTTTAAGAGTCTTCTTAAACATGTTATAGTTTGATTCCACTAATGAGGTGAATATAGCACGGTGGGTAAGGCTAACACATTAAAAGAGATACAGCTTCCCAAATGTGTCATTTGAACAGCTGATCTTCCCATATTCTAATTGCTCTTTTTGATGCTCTTTTGAGACTGGGGATCAGAAGCTGGGTGGAGCTTTACGGTGGAGTTCTGAGGTGCTGTGACAGGTAGAGACACTGAATGAAAGAAAGGTACCTGCTGATATGCCTTTAACATTTTAATAAAGTTTTAAAAATGTTTTAAAAGATGAAAAAGCTGCATAAATTATAAATATATAACCAGTGCAAAAAGTGTAAGCTTCTTAAAGCATTACCCCTTTTCCACATTCTTCATTGCTAATATTGTGTACATAGTGGCATGAAAATGACATTTTTACTAGTGAGGCAAGGATTTTTGTTGGTGACATAGATGTGCTTTTGGGCACTACTGTACCCTTCCTCACTTTTCAGTATTTTTATTGCAGTAAATTCTGACAGAGCCTTTTGATCTCTCTCTCCACATCATACCACTTATTCTGAGGCATTTGCTTGATTAGCAGTATATTGCCTCCAGGTTATGGTATTCATTTGTGTTTCAATTGTAGGTATGCCATATCTTGATTTTTCAAAACTGTTTTCTGCCTGCTTGGTATTTCTGAAATCTTTTTAGTTATATAATCTGCATAATTAATTTAAGGAG